CCGTCCGTCCGTCCGTCCGTCCGTCTGTCAACAGTTAGGCACAAATCTTAACCGCTCAACGTACGGTCACGATATTCGACACATTGGGGGGGGATTGTCAAAACGAGTTGGGATGTCGAAGCTGGGGGTCAAAGGTCAAAGGTCAATGGGGCACAGATTTTAGACATTTTCTGAGGACATGGTCTGACGGAGCGATTGAAAAACTTTTTTGTTTCAGCAGTGACCTACCATTTTTATGGCTTTATTGAAAGGACCATGAAATGTGCTTCCCACTGACGTGCGAAGAGTAAGTGTCTGATAACCTTTTGACCTTGAAGGGGAGGGTTCAACATGGATTTGTTGACTGTTAACAAAGGACTGAACTGCTTTTGCTATTATTAGAGCCCATACCTGTGTGGATGTGAGGCTACATTTGCAGTTCAATTGCAAAGACAAAAGTTTGTTGAACAAGGTTTACACTCCTTAAATCATATTATTTTCTAAAGCAATCTGTATATTGATAGCACCCTGATTGCTAGCGTGGCAAAAACCTGGGGCAATCCATTACTGATGCATGGGGGTGAACTGGCACTTTTCTAATAAACATGCACACCTGCAATGCAGATGTGTTTAATTTATTACTCACAGCTGAGCCAAATTGTCACCTGCCTGAATATACTTGGATTTTAGCCTGTAGATTTCAGCAACTCAATGGAATTAGGTTATCTCTACTTTCTTGACTTATCACCAATGCACGAAGGTTGATGCCATGTTTGATTATTGATTACACTTGCATGCGCCATCTCGCGGCAACTATAGGCCTAGTGATACATTATGACACGAATATATAAGACAGTCGAGCAGGTATGAAGTAGGATGCATTGTTAGGGTTTAGTTTTAGTGTTAATACCTATGCTACACAGTTTTGATGATGACGTAGCCGGTTTAGCGATAGAACAGGCTTTCAACCTTTTGCAGAAACGAAAGCCAGTACAGTAGAGCAACAGATGAGCACTGTCGCTGTTGCGGCACTAGTTTACCTCATAGAATGATCAAAGGTTAACCTATTCGATACAAACATGTCATTATTTGTGTAGTTCTGACACAGGTCCAGTTTATTTTATACAGATCTGGTGAAGAAGGAGTCTACCCAGACTTAACCCAGTATTGTGTAGACCGGATTAAAAGTATGGATATAGATAATAAAGCCATAAGAAAGTCCAAGCCAGTAGAGACCGCTGCAAGTTTGCCTACAGAAGAGTGGAAAGAAATTGAGAGTGATCTTTCTGTAAGTATGATACATGTGTGTGACATTGTGTGCTTAAACATTTGTGAACATAATATGTATGAACACATTTGCGCTTTTGTATCCTAAATGTTTTGTTCATTTAGAATTGGTCAGATAACATCAAAACGAAGGAGAAGAACTTGAGAGATGCGGGAGTTAGTGGAATTGGCTCTCACAACCTGCCACCAGTGAGAGCTGCTGCAGACCATACATACAGTAGTGTAAGGTAAGACATCTTTGAATAAATCTTTTTCTCATATAAGAATTGTCATGAAGAGGAAAAGTGAGTTGGTTAGCTTCTCTTGAGTACCATTCACTTAATATACAGACGCGCATGTATGCGCATGCTTTTTTTGTTAAAATCGTACATTTTCAAAAAATGCTAATTCAACTTGGAAATACGTATTGATTGCAATATTTGTGTTGGCAGAAATGTGGAAGGAATGCAGCAAGACCAGCAGAAAAGTCGGTCCATTAACCTAGACACCAGTGCATGTACTACAGAAGGTTAGCATTCCGTGGAGATGGAAATAATATATATAATTATAAAATACAATTTACACGGCATGAGGTGAATAGTGGGTTTTTAGGAGCAAAGAATAATTAGCAATGGATTGAACCAAACTCAACATATATCTGTCTATTTGCTTGGAATACATACAGTTCGTCTATTGGTCTGGTATCTTGGTTGTCCACTGTCATCAAACCCTGAACTACCTGTAGGACGCCCAATAACTGTTGAAAGATCACTGCCACTCAGCAGTGGGTTCTGGAAACAACCAAATTTCATACTATCAAGTAGTCAGCCTACTTTGTTGAGCAAAATAAATAATGGGCATGTATATCCAACCCGCCATAGTAACCATGCACTGGGACCCAAATCAAAACCCTAATGGAGTAGTGACCAGTGTCATTATGAAACTAATGACAAAAAGTATTAGTTGCATGGTCGTGAACAATGAACGTTTTCCTTCACACGCTTTTAGCAGTTGCAATGTTTATGCAACTGATAAGGAATTAACTTAGGTGCATATATATATAGTTACTATATGAATATTGAATATCACAAAGATTCCTAAAAAACATACATATATGTCAAAGATGGGAGTGCGATAGTAGATCAGCAAGTTAATTTCAAACCCTGTGTCTGTGATTACCTCAGCAGCTCCAACACGTGACGGATCACTGTTAGCTTTGTCGTTGCTGAATGTCCTCCATTCCGACCCAACGTCGATCACTCTAGAGACCAGATAGACAGGTAAAATGAAAAACCACACAAATGATCATCATCACCGTCACCAAAAGCATCAGCATCACCATGAGCCAACCAGAATATTGTCAGCTATGTCCAGGTCTTCTCAATATGCCTCGGGTCATGCACTAGGTAATGTAATTTCCTGAGGGGTGAGAACAAAATCGTTATTTAAACTCCCACCTCCTCCATACATGGACAGCAATCGACATCAGAATTATCACCTTTATTCACACAACCTTTGCCGCTGGCTGGAGGACGGAGGAGATAACTATGTTCATTTGAATTTATTCACATCATGTTTCGTTATTACTATAATCAGGAGTAAGATAATATAGGATATATCCTATATTATCTTACTTCTGCTATAATAGGTCTCGCATGGATCGCATCAAGATTAGATAGGATGCATAGCACAACTACGCAGTAGCGAAAAAGCTAGTCACCACTGTCAGCAAATATCAATCTAGTCTGTCTTGTGCAATACTTACCTATCTCCCACTACAAGCCCACATTCTGCACAGACCATGTCACCAGCTCTGTAATCTTCAATAAGATGTGCATCAGGATGGTGCGGACAGGTCACACGGGCCAATGCACTGGTAGAAGAATCATTGCTTATTAGGTTAATACTAGGGGTGGGACGATTCCTTGTTGGAATTATCACCCTCACACTTGAGTAGAACGTAATTAATTTACTAAGAGAAATCCTAGAAAATCTTGTGGAAAATTCGCTCACCCTAGTTTTTTAAGCCAGATAAACTGGGATTTAATACATTAGTAACCGTTGCACATTACATTCTTGGTGAATTGCAATAGATCTGCTTCCCTCCTCCAAGACAAGCCTTGTCACTCAGCTCCATGCCATGGCAGGATGATTTGAGCAAAAATGTCATCAGAATCTTGACGCAGTTCATTAGCCAAAAGCCAGAGTAGCACTGATAGGGATTTACAGACGCTCCCGTTTACAAGTCTGTATTTTTTTCGCTGCTGTGCGGCGATTATCTAGTCGCCCCGCCGGACCAGCTGACACAAGCAAGCAGTCGCCCGGTAGATTTTCTAATCGCCACTGGCGACTGGGCGACCGCTAGTTTCTCACGCTGTAATAGGCTGCACAATAGCTGCCATGTGTTTTGTCTACATATCCGGTGACGTCACACGTGCACACGCTAGAGCATTTCAAACGAAATTGCAAGTAGTGCCAAGACTTTGAGGAATAAATGCATAAATACATGGTGTAAAGTTGTGGAAAGTGTTCAAAAAGATAGGTGAGATGTCCATGTTGATAGATAAGTGTTAAAAAGCCCGAGCATTTTGCGTTTTGGGAATAAATTTTTGGTTAGACCAGTTGGAGCATTTGGTATCTTTACATCTATGGCAGAATGTGCCATAGCCATGCGGCAGCTATCCGCGGGCTATAGTACTAGAGCTAGGCCTACTAGTACTAATAGTAATACTAATACTAATAGTAAATAGTAAAATGGTAATAGTAATAGTAATAGTATTGAAGTAAAACCGGCGGATTTGCACCAGGTCCAAGTTAGAATGTTACTCAACACGACAGAGTAGGGGCCTAGTTACGCTGATAGGGTCTATGTCCCCCAGGGTACTGCCGGAACGTACCCTGGTAGCTATCTAATATGCCAGACCGTACCTTGCCTACTCCAAACCATACCCTGACTTTTAGCCGATGTCGTAATACATACCGTACCGCTTGTCGGCAGGAAACGTGCCGCTTTAAATGCTCCCGTTCCTTGTTTCCGGTCCGTTTCTGCAAAATATTCGTAACCCTTACCCTGTTACGTTTCACTTCCCGACCCTTTCTACAAGTGTCAGCGAGTCTATACGTTTCCAACCCATGATTAAGATAATCATACACATTTTTCTGTTCCACCACAACACTTGGAGCCATCTTTCAAAAATCTCGCTCGAAAATGTCGTAAACATTGCGAAAGGAAAACGCATTCCCGATCATCGCGATATTTGCAAACAGATTTTGCGCATCAGTGTAGGGCCTATATATAGGTTGAAATTTCTTTTTGAATCTTGGTTTCACAGTTTCATACTCCAATCCAACTTCATAAAGATATCATACAGGTCTGTATGTATATTTCAAATTTTGCGACATAAGTAGTTGGCAGAACAAGGACAGTCACTGAGTAAGGAGTAAGCGAGATACGGTCCGGCATATCAGATAGTTACCAGGGTACGTACCCAGGGTACGTTCCGGCAGTACCCTGGGGGAAATAGACCCTATCAGCCCTAGTTACATAGTGATAGTCATACTATTACTTACTATTACTACTACTACAGGGTAACTCTCTTTTATGTCGGGTTACCTTTTTAAAATAACTACTAGGCCTATATGAGATTAAAATGATTTTAGTGTGTTTAATTCAGTGCAGCCGTAGTAGGCTACTCTATCATATGATTGATGGTACGTCATGATCATGGTGTAGCTCTAGTACTATAGCCTGCGTACAGTTGCCGCAGGGCTATAGAACATTTTATGCCAGGTTTCGTAAGTGCACCTGTACCCAATGCTTCACGAAAAATGGCTCACAAAACGCAAAATGATCGGCGCTTTTTAACACTATTGTATCTACATGGACATCTCACCTATCTTTTTGAACAACTTTCCACAACTTTACACCATGTATTTTATGCATTTATTCCTCAAAGTGCTAGCACTACTTGGCTTTCCGTTTTCAAATGCTGTTGTGTACACGCGTGACGTCACCCGAAATGTCAATAGGCTGCATCATAGCTGCCCATGTGTGTTTGTCTACATTTGCGGTGACGTCACGCGTGTACACAACAACATTTGAAACGAACGCAAGTAGTGCTAGTGACTTTGCAGAATAAATGCATAAATACCTGGTGTAACGTTTGGCGGAAAAGTGTTTCAAAAAGATAGGTAGATGTCCATGTAGATAAATAAGTGGTTAAAAAGCCGCGCGATATTTGGCGTTTTGTGAGCCATTTTTCGTGGAAGCATTGGTACAGGTGCACTTACGAAACCTGGCATAAAATGTTTCTATAGCCCTTTTGCGCAACTGTACGTGGGCCGGGCGTATAGTACTAGAGCTAGATCGTGGGTGACAGGTGTGCCTTGACATGTGACGTGTGAAGTACATCTGCCTGTAATTGACAATTGAGAATTTATATTTCAGATATATATTTATCAGTTGGCAAGCTCGGCACGACCAATGGCAAGTTTACAGATTCAAGGCTTTAAGTCCATCCGTTAAGCATCTTCGAATCTTGATACAGATATATGAGGGTGCTGACAGAAGAGACCAATTACAAGGGTTCACTCGCAACGTAGACACACCACCCTGAGAAGAGAAACTTGATATCATTGAATCAATCTTGACGTAATGGACTACATAGAAGAGCACTAGATGTCCTTGAGAACTTGAAAAAAGTACTCCGTGGTGCTCAGGTAGATCATTCTGCTGCTTGTGTTGCATCAGCCACCATGAACAGCATATTTTACATTGTATACTATCGATTAGAAACGTTAATTGCAATCATGTAAAGAATAACACTCTAATATGGACTGCAAATGTCTCCTCTTCTCTCTCTTCTTTGAAAATAAAGTTTGATTACTTGCTAATTTAATACGTGTACTAACTAACGAACGTGTGATTTATTAATAAACACGGCCCATTCGGTAAAATCTACTATCTCACTTTTTCACTATTCTGTAAAAACTTTATATTCGGAATAGTCTATACTTACTAAAGAATACTATTAAACTGAGGGGTGTTATAAATGGTAGTTATTTAGCCTCATCCTGAACATAGTCCAGATGCCAGCTCTGTAGATCGCGATGACTCGTCCGTCCGTCCGTCCGTCCGTCGTGTCAACAGTTGGGCCACACAATCTTAAGCGCTTCCGACGTACGGTCACGATATTTCGGCCCGTTGGGTGGGATCGTACAAGAAACGAGTTGGATGTCGAAGGCTGGGGGTCAAAGGTCAAAGGTCAAGAGGGTGCTAAAAGAAGGGGGAACATGGCACTCCTGTAAACTCTAAGGTATAGGGCGAGAAATGCCAGAAGTGCGGCACCAACTTCTAAACGGTCTCAGCGACCTAGGCTCGTCGATAGTCTGGTGGTATAAGCCATCATGGCTAGGAAAAAGCCGATGACTGCTGCGAACTTGGAGGTCCACAGCGTCAAAGGGTCAATGGGCACAGGGCGCAGCATTTTAGACACTTTTATGAAGGACACTGGTCTGGACGGTAGCGGATTGAAAAACTTTTTTAGTTTCAGCGGATGACTAGCATTTTATAGTGGCATTATTCGTGGAAAAGGACCATTGAAATCTACTTATCTGCTGACATTGCGAAGAGTAAGTGTCATGATCAACCTTCTTGGACCCTCAAGGGAGGCGTTCAAACCATGGATTTGTTGACCTGTCCTGTAAACAACTAACGAATTTGACTGCCGGGGTTTGCTAGTAGAATCTATACGATGCCCTGCGGCATGTACTGAGGCTACAATGCTCACAGTGAGATTGAAATTTCAAAAGCCTAAATTTGGCTTAAAGAAGCGGTTATGCTTCCTTACAATCGTATAACTTTGCTATGGCCATTCATGTACTGGTTCAGATTATGGTTACATGTTAACGTATGCCACGCGTGCCCAGTGGGCCTAACTGCCAGGTGCATGTCGTTGTGATAGATACTGTGTGAGTTATTGCGCTGCGTTAAATTGGTTACGGTGAGCCAGCTCTCTATTTGCAAGTTTGCAGCCTGTAGGCTTGCCGTAGGTTAAATAGGATGAGTGGCTTTACCTTATTCTGGTCTTGCAACACTAGTTTGTTGCTCACTACGCTACGACCTGCACGAGCTTCCATCTTTAATCTGAAGACCAGCTTAAACGTACCGCCGCCATACTCTGACGCCAACTTTCATAACGAATCCAACGAGACATTCCTTTCGCAGAAACGGCTTTCCTGATACCATCCCTGTCGCATTCCACTGTTTAGGCGTGTATGTGAAACACCATTTGGGTACTAACAGGAGTTTTTACCTGAGAGATTTCCCACACCTCCACCCACATAGTCACCGCACGCTAGCACGTTAGATGAGCGCTGTCGCTCCGCGGCACTTGGTTAGCTCATCTGACATCAGTCAGATGCAGCTTCGTTAGAATCGCATTAGATCGACTTGCTCTGTGTGGCTCGTGCACCGTGCGGTCGAACAGTTTGGCACAAATCTTAATCGCTCGCATGTGACGGTCACGATATTCGCGACGTGGTGGAGGTATGAATCCGAAACGATGTTGGATGTCCTCGAAGCTCGGGTGTCCAAACGCGGTTCAAGAGGTGCTACAAAGAAGGGAACATTTCCCACCTTCAATAACGGATCAGCGAGGGAAATGCACGAATTGCAGCACAAACTCTATCAACGGCTCGAACCTAGGCTCGTCGATACAGTCAGTGTATCAGATCATCGTAGGCCAAAAGCCAGGCACTGCTGCGAAATTGGAGGGTTCACAGGTCAAAGGTCAATGGCCGACGCGGGCACAGATTTAGACATTTCTCTGAGGCACACTTGCGTCTGACGGAGCGCATTGGCAAAAACTTTTTCCTGTTCTCCAGCAGTGACCTTCACTTTTTATGGCTTTATTGGAAAGGACATGAAAATGTACTCTTCCCGCTGACGATGCGAAGAGTAACGTGTCTGATAACCTTGACTCGTAAGGGGAGGGTTCAACATGGATTTGTTGACTGTAACCAAAGGACTGAACTGCTTTCTGCGATTATTTAGAGCCCATACCCTGTGGTGGATGCTGAGGCTACATTTGCAGTTCCAATTGAAAGACAAAAGTTTGTGAAAAGGTTTACACTCCTTAAATCTATATTTTCTAAGTAGCGAAATCTGGCTATATTGATCAAGCACCGCTGATTGCTAGGCGTGGGCAAAAACCTGGGGCGCAATCATTACTGATGCATGGGGGGCGGGGTCGCGGTGAACTCCGGCATTTTCTAATAAACTATGCACACCTGCACAATGCCAGATCGTCGTTTACATTTTACTTACTCACAGCTGAAGCCAAATGTCACCTGCCTGGAATATTACTGTGGATATTTAGCCTGTACGATCTTCAGCAACTCAATGCGAATTCAGCGCTGTCATCCTCTACTTTCCTTGACTTATCACCAATGCACGAAGTTGATTGCCATGTTTGATTATCTGATTACACTTGCATGCGGCCATCTGCGCCGGGAACACTATCAGGCTAGTGCATACATTAATGACACGAACTCATATTCAAGACAGTTGCGAGGCAGGTAGGAAGTAGGACTGCATTCGTTAGGGTTAGTTTCTAAGTGTTAATACCCTATGCTACCAGCCCAGTTTTCGATTGATCCGACCGTAGCGGTTTAGCGACATTGCTTGAACAGGCTTTCATATACCTTTTGCCAGAAACGAAGCCAGTACAGGGGAGAGCAACAGAATGAGCACTGTCCCGCCGTGTTCCATCGAGGCGTTGCACTAGATTATACACTCATAGAGAAATGATCAAGGTTAAGAGGCCTATTCAAGATCACAAACATGTCAATTATGTTGTGTAGTTCATGACACAGACGGCCAGTTTATTCTTATCCACAGCACTCTGCGTGAAGAAGGAGTTCTACCCAGACTTAACCCAGTATTGTGTAGACCGGCATTAAAAGTCAATTGGATACTACGATAATAAAGCCATAAGAAAGCCAAGCAGAGAGACGCTGCAAGTTTGGCCTAACAGAAGGAGTGGAAAGAAATTCGAGAGTGATCTTTCTGTAAGTATGCATGACATGGTGTGTGACATTGGTGTGCTTAAACATATCTGTGACATAATATCGCTATGACAACAAACATACTTTTACCAGCCTTGTTATCCTAAATGTTTTGTTCACTTCTTTAGAATTGGGTCAGGAATAACATCAAAACGAAAGGGAAGAAGAACTGAGAGATGCGGGAGTTAGTGGACATTGGGACTCTCCACCAACCTGCCACCACGTGAGAAGCTCTGCAGAACCATACATACAGTAGTGTAAGCGTAAGAATCTTGACATCTAAACTCTGTTTCTATATCAAGGACACTTGTCATGAAGAGGAAACGTGAGTTGGTTTAGCTTCTCTTCGAGTACCATTCACTTAATATACAGACGCGCATGCTTATCATGCCCGCATGCTTTTTTTGGTTTAGAAAGTCGCTACACTTTGTCAACAACAATGCCTAATGTAATTTGGAAATACGTAATTGATTGCAATAATCCTGTTGCGCCAGAAATGATGGACCAAGAGAATGCAGCAAGACCAGCAGAAAAGTCGGTCCATTAACCTAGACACCAGTGCATGTACTACAGAAGGTTAGCATTCCGTGGAGATGGAAATAATATATATGTATATATATAATAATATTTTCTTTCTCTATAATTTTTTAAAATACTATGTAAAAAGTGCATTGCAGTTTAAATTTGTATTCCTATTTATTTTTAGAAGTACATGTATGCAGCAGCCCACAAATATAGGACTTCACCCTTATATTTATGCATTTAAATATTTTCATTGTGAATCGGTGATATATGTGCAGATTCCTGATCAGTCGATCTTTGTCCACTAATCCAGTGCTTTGGACACTAACTATGTGGATGATAGATCTTTGAAAAATGAGCCTCTGAACCTGCATGGTGTAAACGAATGTGTGGGTGCTCTCATAGGTTTAACTGTCCAAGAGAGATCTGAGCAAGCCAGCAAAGACAAGGACAAGGGCAACGAGGCTTTTGCTTCTGGTGACTACCAGGAGGCGCTACTTTATTACTCGCGTAGTATATCGTACTCACCGCTGGCGGCTTCCTACAACAATCGTGCCTTAGCACGTAAGTACATGTTGACTAGATATTATGGTAGTATTTGAACATGGGTCAGCTGTGACTTTGTTAATGAATTTTGGTTGTCATGCTAATCTGTGAAATTAGTAATATTATTTTAATATCATACCTGTTATCACACATTTTTACACAGATATCAAGCTAGAAAATTACGAGACTTCCATTGAAGATTGTAACACTGTACTACAAATGGAAGCTGGAAACATTAAAGGTAATTCCTAGTTATTGTATATATATATGTATAGTCTGTGCATATGATATATACATTGTGTATAATATTAGTGTTGCTGGGTATTATAAGACATAGATAATGAAGTCTATCGATTCTTACTAAAAGTTGTTGAGTTATGGCAATATGCACATGTCAAAAACATTATACAAAAAAATGTTGGCTGTTTTTTCAGCACTGATGAGGAGAGGCCTGTCGTACAAAGCTTTGCGGAGGTTTGATATGGCAGAGAATGACCTGGAGCAGGTGCTATCTGCTGAACCACATAACAAACGAGCGCAGGTACATGTTCAGATATCTCTCTCTCTCTCTCTCTCTCTCGCTCTCTCTGTCTCTCTCTCTCTCTCTCTGTCGCTGTTCCTCCTTTTCTTTCTGCCTGTTTTCTTCACTCTCTGCCCTCTCCCACCTTTCCCCCTCGCCCCCTCTGTACATTACTCCATATTTCTATCTCTAACTCTGCCGTATTTTTAATTACTTGTAGCAGGCCTAAACACAACAGTAAGCTTTTTAGATGATACACACACATTACTGAAGCCATCCAGAGAGTTGAAGAGCATACATTTTACTCCTTTTAGGTTTTGTCACATGAGATTCTAGCTGCCAAGCAAGCGAGGCGACGCAGGACCTGTGTTTTATGGCTAATAATTATTAATACAATACTCCTCCATATGCATAACGTATAGGCGAACTGCAGAACATGCTAATAATTAAATTGAGCCTTCTTTGTTGTTTTATGTCAGTAATAAGGTAATCAGATGTTTGATATAAGAATTTAATAAAGATATGATACGCTGACTATACTATCTGAGTTGTGTGTGCAGTCTCTATAAAAATATCTGTAAGTTTTTCCAATTACCATTGTTTCAGGTTATTGAAAACTTATTCATTTGCTAAATATGTAATTGAATTGTTACACATTATAAAATATAAATAAATTTAATATAACATATATAGTAGAATGTTAACAACATATAAAAACCACATTAAAACATGTATAATAACTTTCAGTATAATTTCTTATTATTGTTTATGAATATATTTTATGTTTCAAAATACAGCGTACTGTCAATTGATTAATGTATCAGCTTAATGATTTAAGTAAATAATCTTCAGGCCTTGTGAACATTGTGAAACGAATTTCATATATTTTTTACAGGCACTACTAAATGAACTATACAAGGCAAGTGGAAAGTTGGGAATTCGGCACAGCAAACCGGGTGGCACTGAGAGGAAAGGAAGGCGTATGGTTATTGAGGATGTTGGTAAAGGTGAAGTATCTCGGCCTGACACTGACTGCAGTAGAGCAACAGCTCAAGGTCGGGAAGAAGAAACATCATCCAAACCTGCAAACCAGGACACAAACATGCCCTCTCACTCCAGTCACGTGTTGGGCAAAGGAGCTAGTGCAGATAAGCTCACAAGAGATGATGAGAATTCTATGAGGAAGGCAACGGAACAAAATAATAAAGGTGGCCATGTTCAAATTGATGCAACGTCTGACTCAAAAGAGACTGTTGACGAGACTTCATCTCCCCATTCAGGATCTTCGTCAGCGAGAATGAGTGAAAATTCATCGAACGAGGTCCCAGCATCCACTATGGCCCCTACACCAACTCGGCTAAGCGACAATGAAGAGATGCAACCACCTGCAAGTGTGGACAAAATGGAAGCTAGCATAAAACATATGGAGACAAATTTAGACAAGCAGTCTCAGCGTCTCGATGATGTACTTGAATCTTTGCAGAGTAAGGGTCACAATGTTGAGAAACTAGCTGAAGGACTCAAGTTTCTGCGAGAATCTGTCGAAAAGGGTATAGTCGATAGTGAGACTACCCTGCAGTCAATCAAAGATGGTGAACACGAACTGCAGGCGGCATCAGAGAGACTGCAGAATGAAGAAAATACCGTGAAGCACAATCAAGGAGAGCAGACGACCACGGCTTCAGACATTACGAAATCAGATGTGACAGAGAAGCAGAGCGAGAGGAAAACAACAGAACCTGATGAGTGTACTGACGTTGTGGCGAAACCCACCATGGCAGTTCAGGAAGTGAGTCTCCCGCCGGAACCACCTGCGCCACTTCCTGATAAGGTTGTCAAGCTGAAGGATCAAGGAAATGCATTCTTTAAGGCAGGACAGTATGCTGATGCTCTGGAAAGGTACACAGCAGCCATCACTGTCCTTCACAAAGGTTTGTCTAATCACATATATAACCATGGAGTACATGTCTACATATTGTTGTATGGATGTATATAGAATACGTAGATGCAGCATTTCATAAGATAAGCAGTTCAGTCTAATAGCTAGGGCATTTTAAATGGATACTCTTTCATAATCGCAGCTGTACCTATAACTGTGCAATTTGGACCATAATTGTGTAATTAGTAACGAGAAGTTAGTCTCGTAATGTATGTTGTTATTTGTATGTTGTTCTGGTGTGTTATCAATTGCTACAGTAAAATGCATGATTTTGTTACTTTATAGCGAAAGGTAACCATGCAGGCAACTTGTCAGTATTGTACAGCAATCGTGCTGCATGCTACTTTAAGACCGGTGATTGTCGTGCCAGCATTGAAGACTGTGACCGTGCCTTAGAGGAAACTCCCCACTCGCTCAAACCACTCCTCAGGAAAGCTGCTGCTTTTGAAACAATGGAGAAGTAAATATATTGATACTATGATTGGGGTATCAGCATCGTTAGGATCGCAAATTTTGCACATGCAATGATATATACAAAAGTTATGACATCTCAGAGTTATGATAATCATAATTGTTATTATAGTTTCTGACAACAGGCCTAGTACAACTTCACATAATTACATTTATAACAGGTTTAATGGAAGATTAAACAAGATGAAGTAAACACATTTTTACTTGGTTAATTATCAGGTCACTGCGACCTTTATTTGACCTTTACTTTGACCTTGATCATATTTCCTTTCCACTCTCTAACTCGGCCCCTAATTGACCTAGCGCTACCAAAACCAGGTCACTACGACCTTTATTTGACCTTTACCTTAACCTTGATCATATTTCCCTTCCGCTCTATAACTCGAGCCCCTAATTGACCTAGCGCTACCAAACTTGGTATACTTACACATCTTGGGGAGAATGTGTGTTGCGTACCAAAACAAGGTCACTGCGGCTTTTATTTGACCTTAACCTTGACCTTGATCATATTTCCCTTCCACTCTATAACTCGGCCCCTAATTGACCTAGCGTGACCAAACTTGGTATACTTACACATCTTGTGGAGAAGGTGTGTCGCGTACCAAAACCAGGTCACTGCAACCTTTATTTGACATTGACCTTGACATTGACCTTCATAATATTTTCTTTCTGCTCTATAACTCGGCCCCTAATTGACCTAGCGTGACCAAACTTCGTATACTTACACATCTTGGGGAGAACACGGGGGATACATGTAGTTGGCGACAACTGCCCTTTCTAGTTATCTATGGGATTAGGGTGATGAGGATTGTGAGCAGTGTTATTTTTTTAGCAGTCATTCCTATCTGCCTATCATGGGTGTAAAATCTCAATCAAGTGTGTAAAGCGAAATATTTACTCATTTACTATTACTTTGTATTGCAGATACGGTTTTGCATACGTGAACAATAGGCATGTACTATCGATTGACTGCAATAATCTGACAGCTCAGGAAGGAGCAACCAGGTGTGTGCGTCATAAACCATTGCTAAGGTTTTAAACGTTTACCAATCCTACTAAAATCGAATAGATTACTGCTAAATGCCCTTGCACCTGAATATGCAGGTGCCACTTGACGAATAAGTTTCCGTATCCCATTCATGATTTCATCGCATTGTAATACTGTGCCAGTTTTATGTCTCAGATAAAGAATGTAGATATGAGTGACACGTATCTACGAATGACACACATTGAACTCAGATCATACGTTACATTTAGAAAATATAAATACATACATATATATGCATTATAGCATACTCTACATTGTAAATTTACATGCAGGTGTGCAAAGATGCTGCAGGAACTACAGGGTCCTGGTTGGCGGGTACAGCTTCCCAAAATTCCTAGTGTGCCAGCTGGTCTGTCCTTGTTGGATAGGACGACAACTCCTGCAAGTGTACAGCAGAGTGTGCCTGAACCAACACCAGCACAGAGATTTGAGGAAGTCAAAGTAAAGGGGAATGCATTTGTACAAAAGGTGAATGAAAATTCCACGGGTTGAAGTGTTTTTATGGTGATCGGTACAATGAATATGTGTGCATAATCTCTGGCTAATGTAAATTAGTATATTCATAACTTATAATATATTGAATTGGAGTCGTATTTACTGTATATTTTTATGATTGCTAATATGTGTAACAATAATTCACTTGTTTACGTACCTTCATGCCGATGTCTAAAGGTATGCCGTTGCTATGCGGTCTAAAGTGATTTACGTGATATTTTGACTGTAGTTTGTCTGTTTATTTCTTGTTAGGGATTTGCTTCTGTTACCTCGTATGGCTTCTTTGTGTGTGTACAGTTAATATTTAAGCTGTATTTTATTTTTGGTATATAGAGGAACTATGCAGCAGCCATCGAATGCTACACAGAATGCACAACTTTGTTGCCTGACAAAGCTTTGGGTTTTACCAATAGAGCACTGTGCCTTCTAAAGCTCAATAAGGTTGGCATCAAAGATCACACTTAAAATCCATATTTGTCTTTGCAATATTTACTGGAAGTGGAAGTGCTGTGACACTGTCTTGCATGCTTTGTAATGAGAGGGAGCAAGCATGGTAACAAACTGCTTGTGTTCAAAATCTATCATCCCAAGCTTATCTTCTTCACCATGCATAATGAAGATTATTTACCTCTCGCAGGCAACACCAAAATTATTACTGCAATTATCAGGAAACTCTGTACTATTATATCCAAAAGTATCTAACTCACACTTGTTGTTTGGGTTCATTGAAGTTAGCTATTTCCATAATGTAAATAGCACAGCGTATTCAAGAAGCATACGTTTTGTATCAATTTTAACTAAATACAAACTTTGGAAGTCAGGAGAGTGCATGTTTCTAATAAATAAATATATACACACACCTATATATATACTTCATGTCATACTTTTTGCTTGTGACTGCAGAATGAACAGGCAGAACAGGACTGCACCGTGGCACTTGTGCTGGAGCCAGACAACGTGAAGGCACTGTTCAGGCGTGCACAGGCCCGTCACACGCTGCAGCTGTATAAGCTGGCCATGCAGGACCTACTGCACTTACTGAAGCTAGAACCTAGTAATAAGGCTGCCAAGACTCAGATTGAGACAGTCAAGGAGCTCTACAAACAGGTTATACCATGTTTTTCATGATTTAATAAGTGAATGCCCTTATTACAGTTCTAGTGATTTGTCGAAGTTATATTTTGTACTTTAGTGAGTGATATAGCTACTGAAGAAGACGGAGCAACCTTAGATTTATATAATTAAAATTTCAGTAAAAATTGACATTTTTATAAAATGTGTAATACTTTTAGAGTCCCTCAGATAACTCAACATCTGGTTTAAAAACACAGTATTTTTTTTGTCAAGGATGTTATGCAAACATTTTAAAACACAGTATTCATACTATTGTAATTTTAAGCAAACAATTAATACCATGTTTACGTAATGTCGAGATAAATTTATAAATTGTACCACTCAGGAACTGGAGAAGAAAAGGCAGCAACAGAAGACAACGCCACCTGTTGTGAAAAAGAGGGTTCACATCGAGGAGGTAAATGGAAATAATTCTGAGCACCACATTACTGATCATACAAAATCAAGGAAGGATGAAGGAAAGAACTCAAAAGACAAGAAGAGTTTATCGAAAGATTCCAAACTTCGACCATCAATTAAAAAGGTATTAAATGTGTGCTGACGCTGTGTTCAATCGCATTATTCATTGGTTTACTATGCTTACAGGGGTCGAATTAGCCGCTAGCCCGCTAGCCCGCTAGCCCGGGACTAGTAATTGTTTGGAAGGGCTAGTTAAAGGCCAGGGTGGCTTGCCCGTCGGGCAAGCAAGTAAACAATTCCAGACCAGATTTCGTAATTCGTGAAAGGAACGTGTGTGCTTGAGCGCGTGTCTGTCATGTGTGTGCGTGAGCGCGTGTCTGTCGTGTGTGCGTGAGCGCGTGTGTGCGACGTGTGTGCGACGTGTGTGCGTTAACGCGTGTGTGCGACGTGTGTGCGTGAGCGCGTGTGTGTGACGTGTGTGCGTGAGCGCGTGTGCGACGTGGGTGCGTGAGCGCGTGTGTGTGACGTGTGTGCGTTAGCGCGTGTGTGCGACGTGTGCATTAGCGTACACGCGCTCACGCACACACGTCGCACACACACACGCGCTCACGCACACATGCGCTCACGCACACACGTCGCACACACGCGCTCACGCACACACGTCGCACACACGCGCTCACGCACCCACGTCGCACACACGCGCTCACGCACACACGCCGCACACACGCGCTCACGCACACACGTCACACCGTGTGTGCGTGAGCGCGTGTGTGCG